CGCTCCCCAGAGCCTCACCGCAGCCTTGCCCTCTTCTCGGCAGCTGGTTGAATGCCAGCATTGGTGTGAAGCCCATCCAAGTCTCGCTGTTGAATCCTAGGAAGTTGTCAAGGTTCAACCGCCAAACCCTCGAGATGAAAAGGGGTCGGCGGCACCCGGGCGGAGCCCTTACAATAACCTCTGACTGTCTGATCGGTGGCTTTGGTTGGCAGCATTCTCCCATGTCCTGGTCTGAAACGTGCTAGTCCCACACCAAACTCTTGCTACAATGCTAGAACATGCAACGACCGGACTACACTACACTGGACTACACTGCTAAAACATTGTAGGCGAAGCACCACAATTACCGCCAGGGAAAGCTTTTGCTGTGCAGCGTTTCTGCACCGGGAGGAGCGAGGATGGCAAGAGATGGAGTCGTGTCGAACTAGCTGTTTAGCTTGTTGTTGGAGTTTTGCCTGCAGGATTCAAGAGCTTGCAACTGCCAAAGAATTTCAGTCTTTTTTAATTGTGTCTTATGAACGGTTGAGCAGGTGGCTTCTTTGTGTTTTGGTGTTGTGCTTTTTCATGTGTGTTGTTTGTCATTTTGGGGAAGCAATGAACTGCGTGGTATATGTTTGCATGGGTGGGCTTGTCCAAGGCTGCTTCTCACAAAGACCTGACTTCTCCTGGGGGTGCATCACCATCTGATTTGCCGCATTTGCTGTCCCTGTGTGGTGTGATCCAAGATGTTTGTTGCGCTGCAGATGGCAAAATGGCCAAGTTCGAGAGATCCCGGGGGTTTACAACAGATTTCCAGTGGGTTGAGTCACTTGTGCTTCGTGCGTTGCTGACCCATCAAAATGAACAGAATGCACTACCAGACATGGGCAACCTACATTTTAGATGTGTTAAGAGGCTCCAGCTTGAACGACCCATCCGTCACCCGACGACCCAGATCGACCCAGATCGGCCTTGGTTAATAACGTCTTCACGGATGCTAAAGACTCCTGAAAGCGACGGTCGAAGAAGGACCGTTTCCGGCGGAGGAGTCGTCAGTTTCTTTGAAACAGGAAATGGGTAACGGTCAGTGACTCTGGGATACAGGATGTTGTGTGTGCGTGCATGAGCCGGGTTCCTAGTTTGGAACCCACCGATCGACCTCCTCAAACATCTCTGCTGAAACAAATCCAATTGCTGGAACTCCAGATGCTCATGGAGTGAACTGATGAGAGACCAGAAACTTCCACCTCGTGCCAGGAAAGAAATGGCGTGTGCGGGCGTCCCATAGGTACCACCTGCGATCGCTCGGCGCGATGCAATCCGGGGAGGCGGGTCCACGTGGAGACCCAAAGTCTGAAAGACTGAATGAGTTCGTGTCAACCCTGCCCATACAGAAAAGGTAAAGGCATCTTCAAGCATCTGCGAAACCAAACGGTAATTCGTGTGACAAGCGATCGTTTATAATATGTTCGTTAACTTCAGCAGACTTTTTCCATTGCGACTCGGGGCCAGCTAGAATCATGCGCGAAACTCGCGAAGATATGTGAGTCGTCCCATCTCTCGCCTTGTTGGTCACCTCATATTTCTTGTTCAAGTTCAAGTAGTTCAGCGCCTAAAACGAGGCCAAATCTTCGCCAAGGAGATTTACTCAAAATCGGATCTACCATCTGTCTCCAATTCGCCGGCTCCAAAGGCTCTGGGGGTTCTCGTCGGGGCGGCAGCTCCGCGGTTAGCAAATCGACGGAGAGTGTCCGACAAGAGTTTCGTTCCAGTTCTTTTCCCCACAACGACCAGGGTGCTTGGTGATTTAGAATGCCGTCCGCCTTTAGCTATGTTCGGGAGCATTTCTGATCCGTCTCCTCTCCTCCGGGCTAAGAGTCATAGCAGCTGGTTTTGACAGTCTAGATGCAGCTTCGAGTTTCGGTTGTCTTCTCGGCGGGCCTGTGGAGGGTTGCAAGGACCATGAACTTCTCCTGGCCCTAGCGCCTGCAAAACCAATCAACAACACTGCGTCAGCAAAGTGCCAGAAACGAAGCCCATTTACGGTATGTACTCAGATTCTTATCAATACGGTGTAAGATTGAAATGCTTCTCCCTGCACTAAATGCATTCACAAACGCATGCTTTAGGTTGGAATATGCCGTTTGTGAATACCCTGACGTCCCCACAAAATGTTGCGCAAGGTCTGTTAGTGCAAAAACTGTGAACATCTAGAACGACGTGACCTGCCAGTTACGGTCATGTTTCTCCACAGGTGTGAGGCGGTGAGGAGCCCAAAGCACCACCGCATCAACTTTTCATTGACGTTCAAGACGTTTGTTAACTTCCTGGAAATGGTACCAATCAATCGTGCAACTTTGAGAAGGAAACCAATAGATTCCAATTTGCCGATCACCTGGTTTGTACCTGCTTCAGCGCCTTGCACGCGGTCTGCGTCCAGCAAGTGCAGATGGGGCTGACCGCAAGTTTATCTTTCTCATCGGCTCAGAAAAATCACGGTCGGCCCAAGCCCCCAACAGCCACCACTCTAGGCCAGGAGAATATACACGCGTATGCGCGTATGGTTGTTTAAACTACCTGTGCAAACAGCAAAGTGAACCACCTGACAATTCCGGTCACGTTTCCCCCGGCCGGTGGAGGCGGAGGAATGCGAGGACCATAAAGCTCTCCTGGGCCCGCTGCCTGCAGACATTCTGCGCAAACAGCCAACACAGATCAAGAAAATGATGTCCAATCCAATGGTTTGCATCGTCAAAAAAACGGAAGGAGACATGCCTGCACATCCTAAAACCCTCCCACTGCTTTGGTCAAGTTTCTTCACCCTGGCACCTTCATTCTCGGCGGAGGCCCGTTGGAAGGAACACGATCACCAACTGGCCCTAGCGCCTGCAAGGCGGTCGTCGGTATACAAAAAAGGTGGCCGAGACTGCCAAGACTGAAGAGCATGAAGCAAAAGAGCCGTTTTTTGGGGGGTCTGCGCGGTTCGTCGCCCGCAGGCGTTTGAATGGTTTCCACCCTGCTCCGGCTCCTATTTAGACCCACATTTGGCGCACAAAAAAGGAGTAACTCCTTGCTGCCCTAAGCTTCCCCATTGTTCACAGCAGGGTGTGTAAGGTTGAAATGATTCTTCCATGTTCTTTCTGCTCTAGATGATGACGTGGCCCACAAAATGTTGTACAAGGTCTGTAGCACTAACAAAAACTGTGAACATCCCGGGTCGAGCAAAAAGCATAGTCTGCGGCGTGCCCTGGTTATCTTCACGTGTCCCCGTTGTCGTTTGTTTCGGAAAGATCTTTCGGTGGTTGGAGCGTGTGCTGGTTTGAATCGTAGTCTGCCAGCCACAACGCGTGAGAAATGGGAAATCGTGCAAGCCTCTCCTGCTGTGCGCACGGCGCTTGCAAAGGAGTGTGCACGCTTTCTGAAGCCACTAAGTGGTTCCGGTCTGCTCGTCATGGTTGGCAAAAGGAGCTGACTGAGGATGGTGATGTGCATCCAAAACCGGGTCCCTTGAAAAGCGTGCGAGTCGTTTCCTTAAACGTTGGTGGTGTTTCTGGTGCTTGGGGTGCTGTTGATGAATTCTTGCGACTGGTTCAGCTTGATGTGCTGGTTCTTCAAGAAGTGTGTGCTTCTGATAGTGAAGTCGTGGCTTTGCGTCGGTCTTCCTTGCGTCAGGGCTATCGCATGCATCATCTTGCTGGTGCTCCTACGGTCGGTGCGTGGGGCGAAACAAGAATGCGTGGTGGTGTAGCTCTGTTTGTCAAATCGTCCTTGACCCAGCGGCCTGCTTTTACTTTTGTGGGTCAACACAGTCAATGTGTCGGCATCTGGTTGCAAGGCTGGTTTGTTGCTTGTGCATATACACCGCCTGGTCATGGTGATGAACCTGTGTTTGAGCTTGGCTCCGCTCTGGTGGAATGGTTCGCTTCCATGGTCCCGTTGTCTCAACCTTGGACCTTGTTTGGTGATTTTTGCGCTGAGCCTGCTGCATGTGAGCTTGTCCCTTGCATGGCTGCGTTTGGTGGTTTGCCTGTCGCTACTGGCTTGCCTACTCGCTGCAATTGCATTGATTGGTGCCTCACTAACAGGCCGCATGCGTTGAGTTCTCTCGGTTGCTTGATGTTGTGTTAAGTGATCACATCCCTGTTGAGTTGTCCATCCATGATGTTTCGCATGACACGCATCTTGGTTCCTTGCGTCAGACCGCTGTGTTGCTCTGCCCCTCCGGTGTTGACCGTAGCTTGGAAAGGGCGCTTTTGCATAGTTGGAACTCCAATGATGATGTCAGGCAATTTCATTCTTGCTTGGACACCAATCCTGTGGTCTCTGTGCAGGAAGAGTGGGACACCTTTCAACACTTGTTGCTGCGTTGTTGCCTTGACGCTTATGATTGGTTGAGCCATGTTGGCTTTTTGGAGCGTGGTGTGCGCGAGGAGTGTGCTTCTCTTGCTCAGCAACGCCCCTTCAAGGGAGCGATGGCTGAGTATGTTGTTAAGTCCGCTGCTCAGGTTGGTATTAAGCATCGTGTTGGCAATCTGCGGTTACGTAAGCTTCGGCGTACACTTGCCCGTTGTTATCAGTTCAAGCGGTTGATGTGTCGTGATGTTGCTTCATTGACGCGTGATCAATCTTTGGAGCTCCATCGGTTGCATCACAAGTTGCAGCAGAGTTGGCCTAGGACCTTGACTTTGCGTGAGGTTCTTTGTCGTATTGATCGGTTGAAACATGAAGTGCGGCAGTTGGAAGGTGATTCTCAGCGGCGTGCAATCAGCAAATGGCGGCATGAGTTGATCACTTCGGATGCGGCACTTTCTCGTTGGTTGAAGAGCAAAACTACCCCGGTTGGTGTGATGGTCACTGGCAGTGACGGCTTGGTGGCTGACACTGACGTCAGCGCGGCGCAGGCCATTCACACTTTTTGGACTAATTTTTGGACCGATGTTGACACAAACCAGCCATCTTTGGCAAGGCGTGTTGCGTCTTTGATTGCTGGGCTTGATCCTGTGGCTGCGTGTAGTTGGTGCGCTCCTTCTGGAGTTCAGCTTCGTAATGTTGCCTTGTTCGGTAGTAGAGGAAGTGCTGGTCCGGATGGCTGGTCCGCTGTGGAGATTGGTGCTCTCCCTGGTCCTGTGTTCGACCTGTTTGCGTTGCTTGGTCAGCGGTGGCTGCTTGCTGGTGCAGTCCCTCGCCAGCTCAATGAAAGCAGAATGGTGTCGTTGCCAAAGGCCGGCAAAGTGTCCGCTGAGCAAACTATTGCTGTGGAGCATTTGCGGCCTATTACCATCTTGAGTTGTTGGTGGCGCATCTGGAGTGGTGCGCTGATCCGCTTTGCAGTGCGGCCTTGGTTGCGTGATCACGTGCCGGAGCAGTTTGCTGTGGCGCACAATCACTCAACAGGAGATGTGATCGTAGACTTGTTGGAATACTTTTTCAGTCAAAGAGGTGGTTATCTTATGACGCTGGATTACAGCAAGGCATTGACCATCTGGATCCGCTGGCCACTAGGGAGCTCCTTGTGCACCTGGGGTGGCCTTTGGAAGTTGTGCGTGTTCTTGTGGCTGTCTGGCAGGATCAAAAGCGTTGGATTTCCTTTCAGAGTCACACCTTTAGGGAAACTCTTTCTGGTCCTGCAATGCCGCAGGGGGACCCGCTGGGCCACGTGGTGATGATGTTGTGGACGTGGGCCGGTTGGGCTACTGTCGAACAGGCTTGTTCGCGTGCACAATCTTTGTCTCGTATCTACGTTGACGACGGAGCCTTCTCCTCAAACAGGGTCTGGTACTTGACGGAGCGTTTCTGTGCTTGGACGGCATGGTCACGGTCTGTTGGTTTGGCTGAAAACACGTCCAAAGCTTGGGCATGTGCGTCTACTCCTTTTCGGCGTGGTACTTTGAGGCGTACTTTACCTGAACATGTTGCGCTTGATCTTGAACTTCTTGGTGCCTGTACAATGGTGTCGCGCCGCAAGTTGCTTCCTAAGGAAGAGCAGCGTGTTACCGCTTGCAAGCGTACTTGTGTTCTCTTGTCATGTGTCGGTTTTCCGTTCAATCGGTTCATGTCTGCTGTGCGTGCATTTGCTGTGTCCAAGTTGGCATACGGTTAGGTTGCGCGGAGTCCTCCGTTGAATCTTTCCCAAAGCATGTGGGCTTGTATTCATATGGGCTCCCGTCGCATCCGCTTTGCCTCCCCTTGGTTGCGTGCTTGCTTATTTGGTGGCGGATTGCATCCCGACATTTTATTTGCTACTCAGTTGGTTGGGCTTTTGAGCCGCGTTGCATCCAGGCGGCCGTTGGTCTGGCATCCTCGGCCTGGTTCCCCGTCTCATCCTTGCACTCTTGGGCGTGGTTGGCAGCTCGTGTCCTCCTTCCATTGGTTGCATGGCTTGACTTGTCAGCGGTTGAACTTTTCGGATCGTGTGCATGTTGGTTTGCGCCGCAGGCTTACTTTCAGAAGATCGATTGGGAAGGTACTCGTCGCTGGGCTTGCTCTTGCCCTGAGGCACGTGCTGTTGCTTCCGGTGCTTCCTGGTCCCCTGCTGCCTTGAAAGCGACGGGTGGCGACACTGCTGATCGGTGCATTTGGTCTGGTTGTGATGAGCTTGGCACTTTTGATCACATTACTTGGTCGCGTCCCCATTGCCCCCAGTGGAGCCGCCTATTCCACCACGGCCGGGTGAATTTGTGAAAGCTAGATTTGGCTGGTCCGTTGCCGGTACGGACAATGGACCTGTCCAGAGTTGGCTTGTGCATGTGCAGCGGCAGATTTGGGAGAAGAGGCATGCGTGATGCCTCTGCTCGGTGCGTCTGCCGCACACTGTTCTCCGGCTGTTTGTTGTCTGGGCTCTCTCGTGAGCTTTTGGGTTTGTGCGGTTGTGCGCGGCACCCGGTGTCTCCTTCCTCGTGTGCTGTCCGCTTGGGGGCTGCCACACGTCAAAGTTCCTACCTAGCCCTACCTGACCTGCCAGTTACGGTTATGTTTCTCCACCGGTGGGAGGTAGTGAGGAGCCCAAAGTTTCAAATCACCACCGCATCAACTTGTCATTGACGTTCAAGACGTTTGTTCACTTCATGGAAATGGTACCAATTAATCGTGCAACTTTGAGAAGGAAACCAATAGATTCCAATTTGCCGATCACCTGGTTTGTACCTGCTTCAGCGCCTTGCACGCTGTCTGGGTCCAGCAAGTGCAGATGGGGCTGACTGCAAGTTTATCTTTCTCATCGGCTCAGAAAATCACGGTCGGCCCAAGCCCCCAACAGCCACCACTCTAGGCCAGGAGAATATACACGCGTATGCGCGTATGGTTGTTTAAACTACCTGTGCAAACAGCAAAGTGAACCACCTGACAATTCCGGTCACGTTTCCCCCGGCCGGTGGAGGCGGAGGAATGCGAGGACCATAAAGCTCTCCTGGGCCCGCTGCCTGCAGACATTCTGCGCAAACAGCCAACACAGATCAAGAAAATGATGTCCAATCCAATGGTTTGCATCGTCGAAAAAACGGAAGGAGACATGCCTGCACATCCTAAAACCCTGCCAACGCTTTGGTCAAATTTCTTCACCCTGGCACCTTCATTCTCGGCGGAGGCCCGTTGGAAGGAACACGATCACCAACTGGCCCTAGCGCCTGCAAGGCGGTCGTCGGTATACAAAAAAGGTGGCCGAGACTGCCAAGACTGAAGAACATGAAGCAAAAGAGCCGTTTTTGGGGGGTCTGCGCGGTTCGTCGCCCGCAGGCGTTGTGCATTAGGGCGTTTAGGGTTTGAATGGGCTTCATCCGGCCCACAGTTGGCGCACAAAAACAAATGCCTCACTACCCTAAATTTGACGTGGCCCGCAAATGGTTGTACAATTTCTGTTGCACAAACACAAACTGTGAAAATCTGGCAGACATGACCTGCCAGTTCCGGCCATGTTTGGGTGGTGAGGAACCACAACCGCACCAAAATGTCAGTCCAAGGTTGCCGGAAATTCCGGTTTCGGGCGCTGAAAGATTGAAACCGGACTGCATGCTGCTGTTGGGGGCCATGTAATAACTCGTCGTTGGGCACCAGTCTCTCGTCATATGCCATCGCCTTTTTCAGTATCTCATGTCCCCACCTGACAGCACCCAGGGTTTCAAGGTTTGGTTCCAAGGTGGCGTTCAGACCACAGCACCGCACAGCACCCAAAATTGAAAATTGCATTAACCGCAACACCTGGCAGCACAGGGTTCAAAGCACACGGCACAGGGTTCAAAGGACACGGCACCTGCAGCATTCTCATAGCATCTCATAGCCTCTCCCTGCACCGGTCCCCAAAAGATCACAGCACCTAACAGCACCTATACGGTTCCAAGGTTCAAGGGTTTCAGGGCAGCATTCTCACAGTTCGAAGGTTCCAAGGCTGGGACCTCACAGCACCCAAGCAAGGGTTCCAGCACAGCAGCACCCAGGGTTCCAGGATGGAATTCCGGTTTTGGACGTGGACAAACTGTGCACCACTCCCAGCCCCAGAGATTGAAACCCAACTGCATTCTGCTGTTGGGAAAAAGGACCAACACAAACAAACAAACAAATTACGCCTACCCCAGATAGCAAAAACACTTTTGCGGCAGCACCAGCAGCAACGGCGCCAGCCCCTCCAGCTGCCCCAAGCGCACACAGGAGCGGCACCCTGCAGCGGCACCAGCACCCAAGCTCACGCAGCTCTTCCTATGCTTGAAATAGGAAACCCAATAGCTCACGCTATGTAGGGAATTCCGGCAGCACCAGCAGCAACGGCGCCAGCACTCCCAAGCGCACACAGCAGCAGCACCCTGCACAAAAGCTCCCAAGCGCACACAGCAGCGGGACCCTGCAGCAGCAATAGCACCCAAGCTCGCAAACGCACACATTAATGATTTGGTGCACGGAACTGAATGCCACATGCCACACGCCAGCCTAAGAAACCAAATCCTGAAAAGTCCAGGAGGGCCCTATGGAGCCTGGAGGCCTTCAAAAGGAGAAAGGGCCAACAGCCCAAGACCGAAAGCGACGAGCAGGCCGAGATGACGTCGTACGCTCATGTCTGCCAAGCTCATTAGCACTTTACTGGAAATTGGAGTCAAAGCTTGTTCAAAAGTTCAACAGCAGGTGCGCAGTTGATCAGGCTGCATATCCTGAGGTCACCATAGAGAGCTTCGTTGGGCACAGCTCTATGGGCCTCCTGTGCCCACAAGGGGCACACACTCTGACATTGGTTTGCTGTTAACTCAATTCCCACGATGAGAAGGAAGGTGATGGAACAGCAAGGCGAAAAAGTCCGGTGACTTGAATTGTTGAACATTGTTTCACTCGCGCTGCTAGTTGCAATGCACAAACGGCGGAAAGCTGCGGTGGGAAAAGGGTTTGGGGGGAAGTATCGTGCGAAACCACCATGAAAGAAACCAAAGAGGTGGACAGCTTGTTCAAAAGTTGTAGCAGGTACACAGGGATGATCAGTCCCTGCTTCCCCTTCTTGTCCACAGCTTCGTTGCGTGTGGTAGGACAAGAAGGCCACACGCCCCTGCTTAGAAACATTGGAACCCTTAGGTACAGGGGTTGACACACACACGGCGCCGCTTTGCGGCGCTCGTGCAAACGACCTGAATAGGCACCTAAAAAGCCTTAGAAACAAAAGAAAGAAACACAGAAAGAGCAGCGCTAAGAGGGCAAGAGAGAAAGATAGGTGTAGAAAAAAGGTGAATACTTAGCCCTTGACTGGGGCAGGGAAACGAGCCTCAAGAACAACCGAAAAAGCCTGAGAAAAAGCCCAAGAAACGACCGAAAGCGTAAGAAAGAAAGGGGGGGCAGGGAGGGGTGTATGTAGCATGTGTGTGTCCGTGTGTGTGTATGACTACTTAGCACTCTAGAGTTACTGACTACTTAGCCGAGGCGAATTAAATGCAATAGTTAGGGAGCGGGACTTTAGTCTTAGACCGCCCGGGTAGAGAAGACTAGAACAGGAACAACAAAGGGAAAGGCACCGACACACAAGTGTGTCGAGTACCATTTCCCTGCGTTGCCCTAATTAGGTGGGGAGTAGAACTCGGCGGGGGGGAGGGGAAACGTGCCTGACCTCAAGTGGAATTCCGTTTTTAGCCCGGCGGCTATGGTTGTTCACCGTGAAAGCCCGGCGGCTCTTTGTTCAGACAATTCAGTAGTGAAACAAAGTCGGTTAAGAAATCCAAGGTTTGTGGTGGAATCAGTTACACGATTTCCGGAATGAAAACAGCGCCTCCTTGCGGAGGATCACACCCAGCACCCAAGTGGGACGGCTGAGCGATTCACACTCTGACATTGGTTTGCTGTTAACTCAATTCCCCCGATGAGAAGGAAGGTGATGGAACAGCAAGGCGAAAAAGTCCGGTGACTTGAATTGTTGAACATTGTTTCACTCGCGCTGCTAGCTGCAATGCACAAACGGCGGAAAGCTGCGGTGGGAAAAGGGTTTGGGGGGGAAGTATCGTGTGAAACCACCATGAAACAAACCAAAGGAGTGGACAGCTCGTTCAAAAGTTGTAGCAGGTACACAGGGATGATCAGTCCCTGCTTCCCCTTCTTGTCCACAGCTTCGTTGCGTGTGGTAGGACAAGAAGGCCACACGCCCCTGCTTAGAAACATTGGAACCCTTAGGTACAGGGGTTGACACACACACACACACACACGCCTCCCCAAGCAGAGGCTGCTCTTACCGAGTAGCGTCCTTGCAGGAGTAAGGCCAGGAGCCCCTAGTAGCGTCCCATTCTAAGGCCCCGACAGCACCCAAGCCCCCACGGGCGCACAACAGCGGCGCACAACAGCGGCACCAGCGCCCAAGCTCCCACGCAGCGCACACAGCCGCAGCACAGCAGCGGCACCAACACAGCAGCGGCGCACAGCAGCAGCACCAACACCCAAGCTCCCACACTTGACAACAGTCGCACACAGCAGCAGCACCAGAGCCCAAGCTCCCACGCGCACACAGCAGCAGCACACGGCAGCGGCACCAGCACCCAAGCAACCACGCGCACACAACAATCGCGCACAGCAGCGGCGCCACACCCAAGCTCCCACACGCACGCCGCAGCAGCATACCAGCGCCCAAGCTCCCACGCGCACACAAGAGTGGCACACAGCAGTGGCGCCAGCGCCCAAGCTCCCACACGCACACAGCAGCGGCACACACCCAAGCTCCCACGCACACACACACACTTCGAACTTGGGTTTTCAGTTATACTCAGTTGTCACGATGGGAAGGAAGGTGATGGAACGGCATGGTGAAAGGTCCGAAAACTTGAAGGTGTTTCAACATTGAGAGTTATCATCTGCAGAAACACGCGAGCGACTGCGGTGAAAGGCTGCAAAAAAACGCGTGGCTGCTGCAAGTGGCTGAAAGGAGAAAGGTTTGGGGGAAGTATCATGAACCACCATGGAATCAAACAGCAAAAGTGGACAGCGTGCGCAACAGTTGTTCGGCAGGTACACACTGAGACGTCTCTCAGTGCTTCCCCTCCAGCGACTGAGCTTCGTTGGGGTCGCTGGAGGCCTTGCCCCCCTGCCTGTGATGAATTCACATCAATGGAAAAAGAAAGGAACGATCTCGGTGGTAGTGGAAAGGTGAAAAGGTGGAAAACCCTTAGAACCAGGGTGTGACACACACAACACGCCGTGATCGGCGCACAGAGCGAGCGGTGGAAAACGCAAGTCTTTTTTAATTAAGTTGAAAAATTGGCATGCATTGTAGTCTCCAGGATGTGAGCATGCATGCGTTGATGGTCGGTCAAATGGCTGCGGGTGGGAAATTAAATTGAAGTTGGAGAAAACGCAGCAATGCACAACACGAATAAACGTCGGAGCGTTGAGTGGATAGTTCCTCGCTTATAGCCCGGCGGCTCGAAAATCAGGAAATTCAGGGATAAAATGGAAACCGTGGAATCAGTTATGGAAGTGGCGAACTGTGAATTCCTGCATGGCTTCAGCGCCTCCTTTCGGAGGATCACACCCAGTACCCGAGTGGGAAGACTGAGCGGGTCACACTTCGAACTTGGGTTTTCAGTTATACTCAGTTGTCACGATGGGAAGGAAGGTGATGGAACGGCATGGTGAAAGGTCCGAAAACTTGAAGGTGTTTCAACATTGAGAGTTATCATCTGCAGAAACACGCGAGCGACTGCGGTGAAAGGCTGCAAAAAAACGCGTGGCTGCTGCAAGTGGCTGAAAGGAGAAAGGTTTGGGGGAAGTATCATGAACCACCATGGAATCAAACAGCAAAAGTGGACAGCGTGTGCAACAGGTGTTCGGCAGGTACACACTGAGACGTCTCTCAGTGCTTCCCCTCCAGCGACTGAGCTTCGTTGGGCAAGGTTTGTTGCTGGAGGCCTTGCCCCCCTGCCTGTGATGAATTCACATCAATGGAAAAAGAAAGGAACGATCTCGGTGGTAGTGGAAAGGTGAAAAGGTGGAAAACCCTTAGAACCAGGGTGTGACACACACACTCATGGATATGCGTACTGACTTGATGGCGGTGCCACACGCCGGCCTAGGGTTCCAATTCCTAAGGGTACAGGTAAGGAAACCTAAAAGGAAGAGGAGGTCCATCCAAGGTTTCAGGTGGCCAGCAACTCCAAAAGAAAACAGTCAAGTTCATCGCCGCTGCAGTAGCCCTTGACTGAAGGAAACAACGAAGTAGACAGCTTGTGCTTTACGTAGGTTTCTCTCTCGGCAGGTACGTCAATCCGGCGTCCCGGATTGATTTCACAGACCAGTGCAAGCATCTTTGTTAGTGCCAGACTTGCACGGTCCCTGGCACCCCCTGCTAAAAGTTCAAATCATTTCAAACCAATCCGAAGGATCCCTATGATTCCAAGGGTTACACACACACGCCTCCCCGAAGGGAGGCAAACTTTTAAGCTCCATGCCGAGGGTGAGGTGAGACTACGAGAACTGTCGGATCTCACGATAGGCCCCTGCTAAAATCCGAAAGGATCCCTATGATTCCAAGGGTTACACACACATGCCTCCCCGAAGGGAGGCATGTGTGACCTCCATCCTGCCCGGAAAGGAGGTAGGCACATGTGCACGCAAAAGAGACAGATGAAAATGAAAAGGACAAGACAGACAAAGGTGTGTGTGGTTGCCGATGAAAAGGAACCAAGTGAAGAGGGACAACCGATGAGCCAAACCTCATTGTAACGAACCTGGGCCACCTGAACCTTGCTGTAAGTAAAGTACGCGTGCGTGTATGTGTACAAACTAAGGTCCGGACGAGAGTGCGCGCAAGAGAAAGAAAGGATGAGGATGAAGAGACATGAAGACAGAAAGACATGAAAGAAAAGAGGAAAAAACGGTCTGTGGGGGCCGATGAAAGGGGAACCAAATGAACGGGGACAAACCGATGACAAACCAAACCTCATTAGAAAAACCTGTTGCAGAAGCCTAGTTTGCTTGTAAACACGCCGCGCGCGAGGAAAGAGGGGGCAGGGGGAGGAAGAAAAGAGAGGGAAAGAAAGAAAGAGACAAAGGTGCTCCCAGCTACGACACATGCGTCCAGGGACACACCAAAAAGAAGGGCTCCCAGCTATGACGAAGCATCCAGGGACACCCAGGGAGGAGGGTGAGGAGAGGAAAGAGAGAAGGAAAGAAAGAGAGAGGGCGAGAAAGGGAGAGGAAAGGAAGGTGTTCCCAGCTACGAACAATCGTCCAGGGACACACCCAAGAAAGAGAGGGGTGATCCTGAGTATTGCATTCAGGAAAACCGCAGAAAGCAAAGAAAGAAAGGGGAAGGGAAGGGGGAGAACGGGGGGCTAAGTGTTCGACAGGTCCCAATGGACCTTGAACAGACTTTGGTCGCTGCGACCACGTACGGCTTGCCCGAAGGCTGCCACCTTTGACCGCTACGGTCACGTAAAGGCATGAGCCAGCTTGGAATTCAAAAGATGAGACATAAATCATCGGACGTACGGCCTAGGCCACCTACGCTCGCTGCGAGCTGCTCTGTATCCAGGCAGTGGATACGTTCGACGTACCCCCGTTCAACGGGTCCACGGGAGGCACTCTGCGGGCTCATCCCGGGTTGGCACGAAGCCAAACACACTCATGGATATGCGTACTGACTTGATGGCCGTGCCACACGCCGGCCTAGGGTTCCAATTCCTAAGGGTACAGGTAAGGAAACCTAAAAGGAAGAGGAGGTCCATCGAGCGGAGGTCCCAAGGTTTCAGGTGGCCAGCAACTCCAAAAGAAAACAGTCAAGTTCATCGCCGCTGCAGTAGCCCTTGACTGAAGGAAACAACGAAGTAGACAGCTTGTGCTTTACGTAGGTTTCTCTCTCGGCAGGTACGTCAATCCGGCGTCCCGGATTGATTTCACAGACCAGTGCAAGCGTCTTTGTTAGTGCCAGACTTGCACGGTCCCTGGCACCCCCTGCTAAAAGTTCAAATCATTTCAAACCAATCCGAAGGATCCCTATGATTCCAAGGGTTACACACACACACAACCGCCCGCGCCCAAGCTCCCATGCGCACACAGCAGCGGCACCAGCACCAGCACCCAAGCTCCCACGCGCACACAGCAGCGCCACCAGCACCCAAGCTCCCACACGCACACAGCAGCGGCAGCACACAGCAGCGGCACCAGCACCCAAGCTCCCACGCGCGCACAGCAGCGGCACCAGCACCCAAGCTCACACACGCACACGCGCCACCAGCACCCAAGCTCCCACGCGCACACAGCAGCGGCACCAGCACCCAAGCTCACAAAGCGGCACCTCTCTTCCTATACTTGAAGTAAGAACCCCAATAGCTCACGCTATCTGGGGAACAAACACCCTAACTGCCTGAGCTCTCAAAGCGTGGCCTTGTCTACCACGGAACTCCCGGTGTCCACACAGGCTCGCGCCTCAAGATTTGACAACTTCTTGTCTTCTGGCACCTTAAGGTTTGACAACTTTTTGTCTTCTGGCGCCTCAAGATCAACAACTGAACCGATGTGAGCGGCATGTGGCAAACACATGGTATGAAACGGATTTACAATCAACATCCGTTTTTGCAATCAACATGGGGAGGTTCAAGATTCTATACATGATGTACCTGGAACCTGGAAGGCTCCTTCATATTTGGGTGCGACTGAAAAAGTGCAATCGCCAAACACCTTAACGTAACCCAGCCAGGCTGGCATCAGCTTATGGTTGTGCTAAGTTTGACAATGATGACGGCAGAAATGATGCCTCAATTCAAGTCATTGTTGGGGTTGCGCGGTCTGACCCCTTTTCTATCAATAAATATTTGAGAACATCTGACATATTCATATTCAAGATTCATCCAGAAACCGTCTCCGACTTGACTGTTTCAATTCTGCGTTTAAAGATTTTAAAACGCTCTGCTGCCACGGCTCCTGGCGTTCCCTCTCCTTCTGCTCTCCCTTCACGCGCCACTTGGCTTCTTGCAACTCCTCTTCGCGTTGCTTCTGCACCTCCTTGCGGTTGCGGTGCAGAATCCGGGGTTGGCCTGGAAGACTGGTCACCTTTAATATTGAAGCTATGGATCACCCCAAGAGCATGATGTAATTAGGATGATTGGACCGCTGGGCGCTGCGATCCAGTATGGACCTTGTCTCACGATGTTGAGTGTGATTTGTCATGACTTCTGTGCGCCAGGTGCTTTTCCAAACTCCTTCGGCAGTAAGCTACGGCATCTCATGGGTCGACGTCTGATTCGGTAACCAAACGGTCTGATTCGGTAACTCTGATTCGGTAACCAAAAGCACTGATTCGGTAACCAAAACGTCTGATTCGGTAACCAAAACCGCTGATTCGGTAACCAAAACCGCTGATTCGGTAACCAAATCCCGCTGATTCGGTAACCAAAAACCAAAACCGCTGGTTCTGTAAAAAACAGCTGATTCGGTAACCAAAACCAGGAAGCCAAAACCAAAAACATTTCCAAAAGAAGACACTGATGACCCGGGTAGTAGTAGTAGTAGTAGTAGCAGTAGTAGTAGTAGTAGTGGTAGTAGTAGTAGTAGGAGGAGGAGTAGTAGTAGGAGGAGTAGGAGTAGGAGTAGGAGTAGTAGGTGGTGGTGGTTCTAGTGCCACCGATGCAAAATCTCTCCGCGAAGCAACAGGAGAAACGTTATCTTGTTGGCCATGATTCCCCCCCACCCCCTGTGTTTTGTAGGGTCCTAGGCTCCCCTAGGCGTGTCTACGCTATGCGTGTGTAGCACCTGTTGTTGGTAGATAGATCTTGTATATACCTCTTCAGTCAGCTGCCGCTCTAATTCATTTGGCTCAAGACTTTGTAGGCCAATACTGCACTGCAGCCACAGAGAAAAGGTGTGCATCGCTGCCGCTCGCACACTCGCTTGTGGTTGGGTCTTACTTGGTGTACTCGATCAGGTCCAGTATACTCTACTGCCACTTGGGGGAACCTACCCCTCAAAGTGGTAGCGGAGCTTGTGTCTCCTGCTTCGCCACGGTCGAGTTTGCCTCGCGCAGGTTCGTCCGATATTCCGGACAGGAGACAACCAAGTAGCCCACCTGTCTGAAGAGTAGTGACCATGGTCCAGATCTTTAACATAGATACGGACAATGAATCAGAGTATAGTCACCAGGAAGAGTCGAAACCAGAGGAAGTTCCCAGCAGTCAAGATCCTCAGGTTCGACATTCCGGACTTATAACCAGCACCAGGTGTCAAAAGGACGCCAAAGATTCCCCCGTCCTTCTATGGACAGTCATCTTGGTTCGAGCTTGAAGATTTGATCGATGACTGGGTAAACATAACTACCCTATAGAGAAGCTTGGTCCTTCGCTTGACCGGAAACGCAGAGTATTACAAGAAAATGCTTGACAATGAGCAGCTTCGTAACGAAAGAAACGGCATTGCGTACTTCAAGGAAACGTTACACCCATACTTTGTCAAGGGAGCAAATCATGTCTTTCTCTGGCGTTTCATGCAGCTCTGTAGGGCCTGGCGCGGAAACAGGAATTTGTCAGTTGGATCGCGCGTTTTGAAGTTGCAAGTAAGAAAGTCATGGAAGCCTTCATGGGCTTATTAGATCTTTCAACTGTTCCACAGCCTGATGATTTCAACTTTACTGATATCCTCCCGCAACAACCGTACTTGCTACTTCAAGGACTTCAAGATCCCACAGAAAGGAGAGAGAATGCAGAAAGGATTCGTTCTGAACACATCGATGCCATGAAACAAGCACATCGTGATACTTTTCCATTGTCTGATAACTTGACGTCGCTTATCTTCTTATTCAGTCCGACTTGAATGAACAGCAAAGAGAAAGGTTTGTAGCCAGCATGGCCTTACGTCAGGTGAACATGAACAACTACACATACTTAGGTGTCAAAGGCTTATTCCTTGATCTCTTTTGCGGAACCGCCACAGGAACTGCCGATCCTTCAGTCCGCAGGCAAAGAAGATCCACTTTCCTTGTCCTCGATGAAGGAGACTTGGAGGAAGAATCCGGATACTGGGGTGATGGATCAGGATACAGGCGAAGAAGGATTTGCGAGATCGTTAGCAGCAAAAGGAGGAGAATCCATGGAAGAAGATTCAGAGAACCAACCAAAGGCGGCAAAGGAAAAGGCCGCGGAAAAGGCAGAAGACCCGGCTTTGTGAGCCGTAGAGGCAAAGGTGCAGGGGCGCACTATGCAGAGTACCCTGACAACTCCGGTTTCTATGGAAAAGGCAAGAAAGGAAAGAAAGGTGGAAAGAAAGTTTCAAAGGAAAGGATGCCTTTGAAGGCAAAGGAAAGAGCCAGCAACAGAATCAATTTCAACAATCCAATGTTGCAACCACCGACAAGCCTTCAACAGCTCAGTCAAATCCTAACGCCGAAGAAACCTGGAGTGCACATGAATCACATGAAGCAAGTTGGTCATGGGACTCATATGGATATCACACAGACCAGTACTATCCAGAAGATGTCTGGCAGGCAAAAGAAGCCACTTGGCAACAATGGACATATTACGCGGACGGACAGACGGACAGACCGCGAAACAAAGAGCAGACAAGCTCAGAGCCAAGGCCTGACCAGCACAACCAGTCAACAGATATCCGATATTCCGGACATCATACAGAAGATTTGACTAGTGAAGAACATGTTTCTCAACAGTATCACCTAAACCCTGCCAGTAGTGAGGAAGACTACCGACATTCCGGTTGTTCTGAGATGATTGATCCACGCTTCTGTTCATCATTTGTCAACTTTGACGATGGATTTCACCATGCATTGCTCTCTGAATACGCCGACTTGAGGTACAGTCCGACCTATGTGATCATTGACAGTGGCCGTACCAGAGCGATGGGCTCGAGGACCGCCATCCTGCGTCTAGTGAAGGCATGTAAGAGACACTACAAGTAGTTCCCGGGCAAGCCGGCGGTGGAAGTTTCCTATAAGAAGAAATTGACCTATAGGAGTGTCCACGTTCTCTCCAACATGCGCGTCCTCCAGTCAAACGCACGCACTAGAAAGTCGCCAGTTCTCACCATCCAGCTCCACAGATACTCCGCGTACTAAAGTTGTACTACAAAGTCGCCAGTTCTCAGCTTCCAGCTCTACAGATTGCTCCGCGTACTAAAGTTGTACTAGAAAGTCGCCAGTTCTCATCATCCAGCTCCACAGATACTCCGCGTAGTAAAGTTGTACTACAAAGTCGCCAGTTCTCCTCGTCCAGCTCGCCAGATACTCCGTGTACTAAAGTTGTACTACCAAGTCGCCAGTTCTCAGCTTCTAGCTGCACAGATTGCTCCGCGTACTGAAGTTACTGAAGTTGCACCACAAAGTCGCCAGTTCTCATCGTCCAGCTTGCCAGATACTCCGCGTACTAAAGTTGTACTACAATGTCGCCAGTTCTCAGCTTCCAGCTCTACAGATTGCTCCGCGTACTAAAGTTGTACTAGAAAGTCGCCAGTTCTCAGCTTCCAGCTCTACGGATTGCTCCGCGTACTAGAGTTGTACTACAAAGTCGCCAGTTCTCAGCTTCCAGCTCTACAGATTGCTCCGCGTACTAAAGTTGTACTAGAAAGTCGCCAGTTCTCAGCTTCCAGCTCCACAGATACTCCGCGTACT